AGGTGCCCTTCCCGTTTGTCGATCAATGCCCGTGTCATGGTGAGCGGGTGCCAATGGAGGCTAGGTCCCTAGGCTTTCCCCGGGGGGGAATAAGGAGGTTCAACGCTCTAATAGCATTCTCCTCTTCTCTCACTCTCTAGGGCAACTGAGGGGTCATTTCAAAGGCACAATTTTAATTTACAAATATCGAACTAATCGATATTACATCAGGGAGCTCCCAATTCCTTAGTGGGCTTGAGACCTTACATACGTGAAAACACTAAGGAGAGGGGGATCTGGGGGGGAGGCGGAGGGGGAAGGAGAGGGGGACCGGTGGGGGGGGTGTCTGAGCTCCAGGCCCAGCAGAGCTGGGGACACCCACACCCAGCCTTCCCCACCAGTCCCCACAAAAGACAGGACACAAAAGCCCACTCTAAGGGGAGGGGCAAACAACCACCTAAACATGCACATGGTGGCTCCACAGGGGGGTTAGAGAGCAGCCTGCAGGTAGGGAGGGCAGGGCCTCTCTGGGGAGGTGACCCGGAGGAGAGAGGGGGCATCTGGGGGAAGAGAATGTCACTGGATAAAGCGGCCAAGTGCAAAGGACAGAGGCCTGAGTGAGCCCGAGGACAGGGACAGGGACATAAGGCACGAAATTGAGGCTGGAGCAAAATGGAAGCCAAATGAGGGCAGGGGAAGGACGCGGGAGACAGAGTGCGTCAGGTGAGCCCGGTGGGGGTGGGGGGGCGTAGGGGGCTGAAAGTGCCGATTCTGGGTCAAATCCCAGCCCTGCCCTTACATGCTGTGCGGCCCTGGGCCGGCCCCTGCCCTCTGTGACCTAGCTGGGATGAGGGTGTCAGGGCAGAACCACCCAGGGGTTTGCTGTGAGGAGTTGGTCAGTACATTCATTGTGAAGCACCTGCCAGGTGAGGTCAGAGTCCAGGTGGAGTGGGGAAGATGGTGTGCCCAGCAGAGGGGAGAAGAGAGGGGGTTTGAGGGTGGGGGGTAGGGGTGGGGGGAGGGGGGAGGGAAGGGGGCCGTCAAGCAAAGACCTTGGCAGCGGGACTGTGCCAGTCAATGCAGGGGAGTGAGGTCAGAGTCCTGGTGGGTGAGGGAGCACCGCCCGAGCAAGGGGTCAGACCCAGACCCTGGTCGGCGGCTGCCCCTGAGCTCCCTTATGCAGATGGGCCAGGGCTGGGTCTTGAAGCTCCGGCTCCTGCTGGGCGGGTGGCAAGCTCCGTGCCCGCTTAAGTGTCTCCTGCCACCAGGCAGGGTGGGGTTTGGATCAGGACAGGTGAGCAGGGTCCAGAGGCCAGTGTCAGAGTGGGGAGGGCGGGGCCCTGGCATCCGAGCTTGAGCCACCACTTCCTGGCGTGTGATGGGGGCACATGACTTGTCCTCTTCCCGCCTCACTTGCAGCCGCCGTGGCCTCACCTGTACAGTGGGGATAACTGGGCAGATGCTGCGCGGGGGGTGCAGATTAGATGCACTGATACTTCAGCACACGGTGCCGGGCACCACATTGCAAGCACTTACTGGTAAAGATGCCCGTTGTCACCATTATGATTTGCACCTGGAATGTGCCAGGCAGCACCTAAGAAGGGAAGGAGCCCTCCGGACAGGAACTCTTACAACAGGAAGGACGTAGACTGGCAGGTGGGGGGCTGGACCTTCGGAGGCAGACCTGACAGTAGGGAAATGCCAAGCCCGGCAGGGAGGTGTGTCAGGGCCCTGGTGGGCCCGGGAGGCCCGAACCCGGAGCAGGGCGGTTGGACGGGGGCCACTGAGGCTGCTGGAGCAGCGGGGAAGCTGGTCTTTTCTCCAGGGCCACGCGTCCCAAAGTCTTACCCACCCCCACCCCGACATAGCATCCCCTATAACAGTGATGGCGAACCTTTTGAGCTCGGCGTGCCAGCATTTTGAAAAACCCTAACTTAACTCTGGTGCCGTGTCACATAGAGAAATTTTTTGATCTTTGCAACCATAGTAAAACAAAGACTTATATTTTTGATATTTATTTTATATATTTAAATGCCATTTAACAAAGAAAAATCAACCAAAAAAATAGGTTGTCATAGGTTCGCCATCACTGCCCTATAACAACTTCCAGTAGCTTTTTTTTCTTTTTGCTAAATAATGCATGTTCACTAAAGAAAATTTAGAAGACATAAACTAGTGAAAAGAAGAATATGTAAATAGCCATAATCCCAACTCCCCCCCAAATTACCATCTTTACATCTTTGCACATACCTCTCCAGTCTTTTGTCTGTGTTATATGTATATATTTTACATATTTTTCTTGTGAACTTTATATGTTTATGGGGGCATAACTGCAAGAGTTCCAGCAGCCAGAACTGGAGTTCTCCGGCCTCACTCTGCCTGTGTACCTCCCTGTGGGGCTCCTGGGGCTGGAGCTGGGCTCTAACCTCCTCCCCATCACCAGACCTTGCTGGGCACGTGTTCCCAGTGCCAGACTGTCCTGGACATCAGTTTTTGGACCCAAGCCTTTGTAGGCTGCGTAGAGACCACCAGGCGCCAGGCCTGCGGTGAGAGGGCATCTGCCCGGCTCTGTCTCTCGTGCCCCACCTCCCAAGAAGCCGTGTGCTTCCAAAGAAGGCCGCCTTGGGGCCAACACATGTCAGTTTACTCGGTGGCTCAGTACCAGACGCCTTGAACTGAACACTCACCAGCATGTCACTTCCCGAACGCCAGCCCCGGATTCCTGAGTGACGCAGAGCTCTCCATGATGCACATGACTAACCAACACGTGACTTCCAGGTTCTCATCTCTCCCCGAGGGGCCTCCTGATCCTGGAGCTCTTGGTCCCAACGCCTGACTCACTGGTTTCAACAATTACGCATCCACTTCCCTTTCTGCCTGGTGCGCACGCCCTCAGACCACTTGTCCTTGCCGTCCAGGTATCGGAGAGCAGCATCGCCCACGAGAAACAGAAAGCAAGGGAGGCCATCGAGAGGGAAAAGAGAAGGGTGCAAGACCTGGAGAACCGCCTGACCAAGCAGAAAGAGGTACGAGCCCCAGCGCGGAGAGACGCGGAGGAGCAGGCATGGTTAAGAGCAGGCTCGGGAGGCAGGCGGTCGGGCCCGCCCCGGCCGCTCTCTGGCTGTGGGACATTAGGCAAGTCGCTCAGCATCTCTGTGCATTGGTTTCCGCACTCGTGAAACACAGATGATACCAAAGGTCAGCCTCGTGGAGCTGTGAGGCTCCATTGTTAACACACACACAGAATACACAGAACAGTACCTGGCACTCCCCGAATGCTGGCTGTGTTGCCCGCTTTTATTATTATTACTGTGAGCTCACAGCTGGGAAGCAGAGGGGCAGGATCCAAACCTAGGACCATCTGATGCCAGACTCCTTCATCGTCACTCCGCCTCTCCCTGCTGGCCATGAGCTCTGCGTAGCTCGGCCGCCTGGGGTCAGAGAGGGGGTCAGGATATGGACGCCTGAACTTCTCATCACCTCAATGTCATTGCCCCACCGGAACTTCTCATGATTGTCATCATCGCCTTCATGCCAAACCCCACTTATGAGCGTCACTGGGAGTGGCCGGCGCAGTAGAGGTAGAAGTTGGCACACGGCCCTGCCCGGGGCGCCTCCACGCTGTGGGATGTAGTTCACTCTTCCTGGGTCCCAGCAGTACCAGGGACCACACACACACACACACACACACACACACACACACAATAGCCAACATCTCAGTAGTTGGAGCAAGCAATAAACACACAGCCCGACAATAGAGGTTTAATTTAAATAACACTTAAGTTATTTAAAAACAGGTAAATACAAATTCAAAAGGTGTTCAAGGCCAGATGGAACTAAAAGTCTATACACATCAGTCCTGGGTCATTTTCTCTCAAGAAAGGTTCCCAACATCAGCCCACGTAGAGTCACTGGGCAGTTTATCCCAGGTGCCCCCGGAGGGCGGGCCGGCCCGGGAACCTGCGTGTTTAGCAGGCAGTCCAGGGGGTGCTGGCGGACCTGGAACGCCACCGCTTGAGGGGGACGAGAGTCAGGAACCGCATCTGGATTGCATGGGGGTCCTGGGCACTTCCAAGGTGTGTCCAGCGGAGGCCGACCAGAGCTGGGGAAGTGATGCAGGACTTGCCCGCTTCCCTCCGGAGGGCTCCTGTGAGCAGGCGCGATGCCCCGGGCTCAGGGAGAGCCCAGGAAAGCAGCCTGGATTCCCCAAACGACTTCCACAAAATGCTTTACTTTGGGGTAGGAGAAAAGGAGAAATTAACAATTTTAAGTAGATTACTCGGGGCATAAAATGGATCAGAAATGAGACTAGTGCAAAAAAATATATGTATCATGAAATCAATATGGGCCACAATTTTTATTCTAACAGTTACAGTGAAAAGGGAAGCGGCTGCAAGTGAGGCGGGAAGAGGACAAGTCTTGTGCCCCTGTCACACGCCAGGAAGCGGTGGCTCAAGCTCGGATGCCAGGGCCCCACCCTCCCCACTCCAGTTGTGCAATTTATAGATGAAAATGGAGCGATTGCTCATGAAACTGGGACCATTCTTGGTACTCGGCCCAGAGAGAACGTCTCCTGGGGCTCATCCCACAGAGAACTCTGTAATGCGACCGACAGTGTCCTCAACACCTTAGAACAGTGATGGCGAACCTATGACACGCGTGTCAGAGGTGACACGCAAACTATTTTTTTGGTTGGTTTTTCTTTGTTAAATGGCATTTAAATATATAAAATAAATATCAAAAATATAAGTCTTTGTTTTACTATGGTTGCAAATACCAAAAAATTTCTATATGTGACACGGCACCAGAGTTAAGTTAGGGTTTTTCAAAATGCTGACACGCTGAGCTCAAAAGGTTCGCCATCACTGGCTTAGAACATGGATGACATCAGAGGGCGGGGCCTTGTGACAACCCTCAGGCAGGCCCCCACTCACCAGCAAAGGTCAAGGAATGACAAGGTCAGAGACACACTCCAAATTGCTTACTCACATGCTGTTCGAGCTGTATATGCGGAGAGCAATAGGGAGATTGATTTCATCTGCATGAGCAAAAATCGGGTTTCTGTGGAAGAAAGAGGAGAAAGCGGAGAAGGGAAATAAATGGGGACCCGTGGGAACAGCGAGCGCTGTGCTCCTGTCCCGCGTAGCTGCTGAGTAGCCGGCAAGGAGCAAAGATGCCGGCCAGCGTGTCCTGCCGCTTCCTGGCCCATCAGAGACACCATCTCAGTGTGTGTGGGTGACGGGCTGCTCTGGGGGATGCCTGCCAGGGTCCCCAGGAAGCATCTCCTCGGCCAGATCCACCCATTGTCCAAACCGGGATTCCTCTCCGTACCTTCCCCTCAATGTTGTTACAAACCTAAAACTGTTCTAACAAAAAAAGTCAAATAAGGAAATGAAGCTCGCAAGCCCCCAGCACAGTGCCTGCCACACAGCCCGCAGGGCACACTGTGAGGAGGGACTGGGAGTTGGCTGGAACTTTCACAGTCAAGGGCAGGACGGGCGGGCTCTGGGCAGAAGGACAGAACCAAGGCCGTGGCAAGACTGGGCCCCCAGGGGGAGGGGAGGCCATCCCGTGCCAAAGCCTCTAGGAACGTGGAGCGTCCTGAAGGCAGGTCCTATAATGAGGGGTGAAGGAACTCAGCACATTTATCCTGGAAAATAGAGTTAGAGCGAGACATGACAGTCCTCCTCAAGTATAGAAAGGGAAATGAAACGTACTCATAAAAGAGAAAGAAAATGTACTCGATGAGCTCCAGGTGACAGACCTGGGCTCAGAGGCCGGAAATCGCAAGGAGACAGATGCCAGCTGACTATAAGAGGGAGTTCTCTACTAATTGGAACCTTCCAGAGAAAGCATGGACTTTGGACTTAAAAAGAACCGAGGGAACAGTAACAGGATAGAGTTCACCTCCCTCTGAACGCCGGGCGGGGCGGGGGGAGGGGGGGGGCAGAGGCGGGGTGAAAACTCATACCTGAATGTCTGTTGATTTGATATTTGTTGCTCATCTAGGAAATGGATTTTAAAGTGCAACAGGAAGATGTTCTAAATGATAAATTAAAGGACGCACTGGCCATGGTAGAAGAGAGTCAAAGAACAAAGGTGTCTGAGAGTCTGAAAGCAGAGAGCCTGGCCATGAAATTAAATGAGGCGTTAGCTGAACTGGAAACTGCCAAGACAAAGATGGTAAGAGACAGACTTCTCCTCTCCATGCAAGATCACAGCGCCGTGAGAACAAGCGGTTCAGAAATGGGGGAGGGCAGGGGCCACAGGGGCGGGGACGGGGGTGGGGGGGGGATGGTGCCCGGCCTCCACGCTGCTGCTGCTGCCGAGGCTGTGGGTCAGATAGGCCTTCCCCGGGAACCCTCCTGTGACTGTAGGATGCTCAGCAGCCTGGTCTCTGCCCACCAGACGCCGGCAGCTCCCTCCCCACAGCTGGGACAACCAAAACTGACCTCAGACTTTGCCAAACGTATGTGGGTTTCTCAGGCGAAGCATTGACACGTGGGGAGGAGATTGAGCCCGGGGGCCCAACATGCAGCGGGGTGTGGGGAGCAGGAGAACGAGGTCATTAGAGAGAAGACAGGCTCATCCGAGAGGCAGGATGGGGTGAGGACGAGGCTCTGGATAGACGCACCGAGAAGAGCCCTGGGAAGGAGAAGGCGGTCACGGCAAAGGGTCTGACTCACCATTTGGGGACCATGGGTAATTTTTGGTTTTTAGGAAATACAAAGTCATCCACTTTTTCTTTTCTTTTTTTATTTTTTTTTACGTGTTTTTATTGATTTCAGAGAGAGAGATAGAAACATCAATGATGAGAGAGAATCATTGATTGGCTGCCTCCTACACTTCCCCTATGAGGGGTTGAGCCTACAATCAGGGCATACACCCTGACCAGGAATCAAACCATGACCTCCTGGTTCAGAGGTCGACACTCAACCACTGAGCCACATCGGCCGGGCCATCCACTTTTTTCTTACGAAATCGTTCATTCATTAATTCAATGAGTGTTTACTGAGCATGTGGGTCCCATGCTGTGGCAGGGATCTAGGCACCGATGATGCTGGGTGTGTTGGTAAATTTAAAAAGACCAGTATCTGCTGTCATGGAGCTTACATGCTGGTGGGAGTGAGAAACAAAGACACGGGAGAATTCGGATGGTGCTAAGTGCCTCAGAGGAAACAAAACAGGATGATGGAATGGAAAGTGCCTCAGGTTGCTCCTCTGGTTAGGCAATCAGGGAGGGCCTCCCTGAGGAGGTGGCACGGGAGACCTGAAACTCGGGAAGGAATCAGCCATGCAAGGAGCCAGGGAAGCAGTGTACCACGCGGAGGAAACAACACACGTGCAGAGGCCCTGAGGTGGGACCAAGCTCAGTGGCTGTGGGCGCAAAGGGGACGTGTTACTGTTGTTATTGTCAGAGCAGCCGCCCGGGGTCGCACTAGCCATTTCTGTTTCCCCAGATCATGATGGAGGGGCGGATACAGCTGCAACAGCAGACCATCAAGGCCCTCCAGGAAGAACGAGAATCACAGAAACCGGAGTTTGAAGAAGAAGTCATGGGCTACAAGGAGCAGATCAAACAGCACTCCCTGACGATCGTGAGTCTAGAAAAAAGACTCAGAAAAGTGACCGAACATCACCAGAAAATAGAAGAAGAGCTCGCAACTTTGAAGAACAATGACCTGGGTAGGTCCAAAGAGACCCTGAGGAACCTGCGTGTCGGGCCAGGTTCTGGTTGTCCTGTGGGCCCCAAGAGGCTGCTGGGTAAGAAACGGACTTCTGCTCACTGAGAAGCTCACTGATCCCCTGGCGCCCCTTTCGTTCTTGTTACACAACACGGTTAGGGGCCCTCGAGGCCCAGGTGCGACAGAAGTGATGACGAGGAGTCGGAAGCCTCGGTGCCCGGCCGGTCAGCCAGGGAGGTGCAGGCTGCCAGGGCTGTCAGGGCTGTCAGAGTGGCATGGCAGGGAACCCCCCACCCCCGCCCCCAGGCAGGCGCCGTTCAAAGGCTCCCCTCTGCGTTGTAATTTGTGACTTTGTTTAATGCACTTTTGTAACCAGCCAGGGGTTATTTCTTAAAAGCTAAACCCCAACGAGGCTGAAACGGAACTCGGAGTAGTGAGCATGTATTTGCCCTAAATGACCAAGACGCCGGCTGCTTGGAGAGGTTCTCTAGCTGCTCTAAACATCAGGGGTCATGAACGTCACTTCTCGGAGAAGAGTTCTAGAAGCAAAGGCCCGGGACCAGGGTTTCTCAGCCTCAACGCTATTGACATTTGGGGCCAGATAATTCTTTGGGGTGGGGGTCGTCCTGTGCACTGTAGGGTGTTGAGCAGCATCCCTGGCCTCCACCCACCAGATGCCAGTACCACCACCCACCCCAGTGTGACAACCAAAAATGTCTCCAGGCATTGAGAAGTGTCCCCCACGTGAGGGGAGCAAACTCACCCCTGGTTGAGAATCATGGTCCTGGTCTCAAGCCAGTTGATGAGCTGTCAGGGCTCACCTCATGCATCCATTCACTCTACACACTTAATTGAGCATCTATTATGTTCCAAGTTCATTCTAGGCCAGGGGTGGGCTGGCCTCCACCCACCAGATGCCAGTACCACCGCCCACCCCAGTGTGACAACCAAAAATGTCTCCAGGCATTGAGAAGTGTCCCCCACGGGGAGCAAACTCACCCCTGGTTGAGAATCATGGTCCTGGTCTCAAGCTTTTTTTTTTTTTAGTTTTATTCATTTCAAACGGGCCGGATCCGGCTAGTGGGCCGTAGTTTGCTCCAAGTTCATTCTAGGCACTGAGGGTTCAGTGATGGGCAAGCAGGCAAGATCCCTTCAGTTAACCAAAATACTGCCCTGACAGGTGACCCAAGGTGAGCAGGGCACCATGGCCAGGGCCTGGAGTGGGACTCAGTTTCCCAGGCCAGGTCCAGGTCAGAGGGAGGATGCTTAAGCTGGGACCTGGAGGGTGACAGCTTGGTCACCCCACGCTTAGACCATAAAGCACTGAACTGTCGAATGAATGAATGAATGAATGAGCATGTGATTGAGTGGTGAGGGTGGAAGCCGAAGGCAGTGGGCTGGGGAGTAAGTGGAAGATGTAGTAAGGACACGACTCTTGTCTGAGTGCAGAGGAGGAAGTAGGGCAGGAGATGTGACCCAGTGGTTAGGGCTCCACCTCTCACCAGCTGGCTGAGTGGACACAGGTTCTGTCACTCCTGTGTCCATTTCCCTGTCTGCATGGAGTTATTGATCTGTGCCTTAGAGAGTAGCTGGAAGGATTTCATGAGCTCAAAGGGGGGTGGGGGGAGTCCTCAGCCTGTGACACAGACCTGTGGTATGCCCCGTTACGGGGGAGGGCACTGCGGGTGTAGGGAGAGTGTGTAAGTGGGGGAAGGTGCGGGTGTGTTGATGGGTTAACACGCATCGGGGAAAGAAGGCACGGGTGGCAGGACTGTAATGATGTTCACGTGTCCCTGATTCAGCCCAGGAGAAGGCAACGCAGCAAGACCGTCCCCCGGGGCCCCCGCAGGAGAGCCGCACCAAAGACGCGGTGTGTGACCACATGATGTGAGTACCCAGAGGCTGTGTCCGCGCCAGAGCACCCGCCCTGGTGTGCACGCCAACAATGACAAACCCACCAAACTCCCACTTCTGGCCACGTTGTCGGAATCTGAAAAAGGGAGTGGAGTCCGGGGTCTGCTTGCTGTTATTTGACTTTCTTGATTCTTTTAGCAAGTCAGGATGATGTCATGGAAAAGCCTGGGTGGATCTGTGTTCAAATCCCAACTCAACCCTCTCCTGCTGTGTGAGGCGGGACCTCGGCTTCCTCATCTGTGAAACAAGGAGGCTCAGGCCGGGCGCACGGAAGTCGCTCGGGGAATGCTGGCTAACACTGCGGCGAGCAGGTGGTCGCGGCAGCCGAGAGCAGAGGTTGCCAGCAGTGGAGACCACTTGGTGGAGAGGTTCTAGAGGGGGTTCAAAGTTCAGAGGTTAAACTAAATGACTTTGAAGATCCCTCCCAACCCCAAAGTCATATTTCAGCCTCAGATGGAACCCAGCCAGGGCCCTTTGTTCTATCTCAATGTATCTCTCTCTTTTTAATATATATATATATTATTGACTTCAGAGAGAGAAAGAGGGAGAGAGAGATAGAAACATCAATGATGAGAGAGAATCACTGATCAGCTGCCTCCTGCACGTCCTCCACTGGGGATCGAGCCCACAACCCAGGCATGTGCCCTTGACTGGACTCGAACCCTGACCTCCTGGTTCATAGGTCGACACTCACCCACTGAGCCATGCTGGCTGGATGCGATGTATTTATCTTCAGTGATGAACATAAAAATGACTTTTGTTTTGAGAATGATTAAAGCACGTGCTTATCCCGTTGCTGGGACCGGTATCCCTGGACCATCATTGGTGGAGCATCACTGGGCATTTGCGCTTGGTCCCTTCCAGGCACTGAGACACCACGGGTCGGGGTTGACCCGGCTTTGCCTGTTTTGTGACTTGCAGAGAGGACTTGGTGACGGCTCAGAAGGAGATCCTGTCTCAGCAGGAGGTCATCATGAGCTTGAGGAAAAACCTTACGGAAGCCCACAGCCGAATGTCAGATTTGAGAGGTTCGTACGCTTGCCCGGGTCCCTTGACTTCCTGGCCCACTTTGAGGAAGGAAAGAAATGGGGCTGAAGAGTTGGACAGCGTGGCCTTAAAAGCCCTGCTCAGTCTGCTTTCCTGGGGTCACAGCACTTACAGTGGGGTCCACAAAAGCTGGATCCCGACTATGGCCCTGACTCCATATCCAGGGGCCACGGGTCACTCCCCAGAGGGCACAGGACCTCCGCGATGAGACCCAACTCTCCTTTTAGGGGAGACTCTCCTGTCACCACTGAGAATTTGCCCCCAGATCAAAGGCTCCCTCCTGGGGCAGGGCCACCTGCACAAGCTCTCACACTCACCAGCTTTGGGACCCAGGGCCAGGTATTCCTTCTAGATCAGTGGTTCTCAACCTTGGCTGCACATTAGAATCACCCGGGAATCTTTTTAAAATCCTGGTTTCTGGGCCTCATCCTCCAGAAATTCTGTTTCTTTGTTATGGGGTGGGGCCACAACATTAGTCACAAAGAAACAGAATTTCCGGAGGATGAGGCCCAGAAATCAGGATTTTAAAAAGATTCCCAGGTGATTCTAATGTGCAGCCAAGGTTGAGAGCCACTGCCTTAGGCAAAGAGATGCAGAAGCAGGCAGCGGAAAGTGGCCGGAGTGCCCTAAAGTGCCATAGGTACAGGGGCGGGGACAGACAGCACCTGCGGTGTAATGCTAGGCTAAGGCCGGAGCACACGGCCCTCCTAGAGCCAGCACTCACAGGAGTTGTTTGCTCAGATGCAAGCAGACCTCCTGGCTGTTGCTGAAGCCCCCAGAGAATTCCTGGAGGGCGGGCCCTCCTCGTGGGTCTCGAACCCTGGCAGAGGACCCTGCTGTGGCCCCTCGTGGAGACCCCAGGCAGGACACCCCCTCACCAGCTTTCCTGTCGCTCCCAGGGGAGCTTAATGAGAAGCAGAAGGTGGAACTGGAGAGGAACGTGGCCCTGGTCCAACAGCAAAAGAGAGAGCTGGGTGCGCTCAAGGAAAAGATGGCCCAGGTGACCAGCCTGGTGGCGAAGAAGGACCGGGAGCTGGAGGACCTCAAGGAGGCACTCAGGTGTGTGAGGAGGTCTGCACGGCGTGCAGGGCCCAGGTACACCTGAGTGTCCCGGGAACCTTGCACAGAGAGGTGGGCAGTAAGTGCTGATTGAGGAGTGGGATGGATGCATGGTGGGTGGGTGGATGGATGGATGGATGGATAGACGAAGAATGAATGAAGTGATGAATGAATGACGTGTTTCAAGCTCCACAGCCTTATCAGGTAGAACAGGCCTTTGCTAAGTCCTGTGCTTCCCAAAGATTCCTGCCCAATATTCCAGATGACAGGTCCCGGCTTAAATGCCACTTCCTCCAGGAAGTCCTCTGTCACTCACCCTCCCCAAATATAGACCAGGGCTCCTGCTCTGCCTGGGACCCTCAGCCCCTCACTTCACCTACCTTAACTTCTCAGTCAGGCTGTGTTTAATTGCCCATTCAATGGTCTGCCTTCTCCCTGAGAACAGGCCTTGCCTGGCATTGCCTCCCGGCAGTCACGCAGCGCCTAGCACTGAAGGAAATCAATAAATATTTGTTAAACAAATGTATCAACTGGGGGTGTCCGAGGTCAGCTCAAAGTAAATGTTAAATATCCCCGTCCCATGGATTTGTCTAAAAAGGACATGTGACTTTGCATTTTCATCCATAGTTTGTCCAAATGTTGACATAAAAATAATGTTTTCCCCCAAGAAAGTGTGAGCAAAACTGATGTCTTGTGTAGACCCTGTGGCTTCTCGTGCCTCGGGGCTCATGGCCAAAGCAGTCACACAGTGGTTAAAAGAACAGGCTCCAGACCCGTGCTGTCTGGGTTCAAAGCCAGGCATTTCCACTTACAAGCCCCGTGACCACGGCAAATTGCTGTGTGTCTCTGTTCCTGGCTGTCAGATAGGGCCAGGAGCGTCCCCCATTCATGGGACTGTTATGAGACCTGGAAGGGCTTACCCACCGGAGAGTAGGAAAGAGCATCACACAACAAATGCCCCCGTACGGGCACAGCAGGTGTCCCGCAGACCCAGGTGGAAGCAAGGGCAGGCAGGTGCCCGCCGCCCTGGCCACTCTCCTGCAAGTCCCCTGAGACTAAACCCCCTACGATCTGTGGGTAGGAGACTTGAGGGCCGGGAGACTTCAGTTACCATAAAAATGGAGCTCCTTTTCCTGTCCCGCGGGGTGGGGGGTGGGGGTGGGAACTCGTGGCCCCCGGAACCTTGTGCAGCCCCGTGACGCATCACCTCTGCCCCAGAGCCTCCCAAGAGAAACGCAGGCCCAGGAGCACGGCCCAGATGTGTGACATCTCGGGGCAGATGGAACCCATCCTCACCGACATTTTCGTGAGCAGCCAGGAGGTGAGTGTCCGCCCCCCCCCCCCCCCCCCGAAGGACAGGCTGAGGAAGGAAGAGCCCGGTGGTGGCTTTCCTGGCTTTGGAAAACATTCTCATTCTAAGTTCCAATTCAGCACGTACTTCTGTGCCAGGTGCCAGTAAAACAGCAGGAGTCCTGCCCCTCCAATGCCGTCACCAGAGGTGCCAGCTGTCAGCAGGTTGGCACAGGCGCCAGCAGCCCCTGCACATCCTTACGCAGCGTGACTGGGCAGTGGGTGGAGACCGGGCTCCGGTCTAGTCTGCCTGGGTCCTCTTCTCCGAAACTGTGACCTCAGGAGGTCACTGAGCCAATTCCCTCCTCCGGAAAGTGGGAGAAGTGACCCTCACTAATCACTTCGTGGGGCTGTTGAGAAATACATTTTATTTATAAACTCAACGCAAACAGACATGTATATACAGGGGTTGGCAAAAGTAGGCTCACAGTTGTTCATATGGAAAATTATACAATAATCTATAATAATAAAAGTGTAATATGCTAATTAGACCAGACAGCTGAACGACCTTCTGGACGACCTTCGGACAAAGCCATGGCTGCGAGGGCCAAGGCAAGCTGCTGCGACTGCAAGGACCAAGCCCCTTGCATGAATCTCGTGCATCGGGCCTCTAGTTAATAAATAATAATACAAGAATAAACTGTCTCATGTACTCACAACTGTAAACCTACTTTGCGTCCCACCCTGTACATATATTTATTTTTTAACTTCTTTTTTTTAAGTTTTTTAAATTTTCTTTATTGATTAAGGTATTACATATCTCCCCTTCCTCCCTTCGTACATATATTTCTTGAAGAGATTTTTTTTTGCGAAATAATGGTATCAAGCCATATATATTCTACACACATAACTATTGAATGGGCATTTTTCAAGTAAGATCTACCTCTGCTTTTAAATGGCTGCATAGAATCCACTGTGTCCATTTTGTCCAAGCAGCCCCCTGTTGATGGAGATGTCAGTGGCTTCTGCATTCCCACATTACTGTAGTTAATACTGTATCCTGTCCTAGCCAGTTTGCTCAGTGGATAGAGCATCGGCCTGTGGACCAAAGGGTCCCAGGTTCAATTTCAGTTAATGGCAGGTACCTTGATTGCAGGCTCCTCCCCGGCCCAGGCCCTTGTGGGGGCCTGTGCAGGAGGCAACCAATCAATGTGTTTCTCTCACATTGATGTTTCTCTCTGTCTTTCCCTCTCTCTGCCACTCTCTAAAAATCAGTGGAAAAATACCTTTGAATGAGGATTAACAACAATAACAAAAACACTGTATCTAAATTGCTGGGTCCAGAGGACAGCCTAAATTGCGCTCGATAGGGCCACTCTGCCTTCCCAAAGAGCACCGCCATTCATGCTCCGAGGCTGTCCCCTGGCGACTTCTCGCGGGTCCCCACCCAGAAACCTCCGTCGGCCTGAAGTCCCAGCCTCGCAGCAACAGGGAGTGCGTGTGAGAACAGCCTCCATCACGCCGCCCTCGAAGGTGGCACTCACGTTCTGCCCGTGGCTGGGGCCGTGATGCTCCCATTGTCCGTGGCGGGCTGCTGTGGGCCCAGTGCTCCCTGGAGGCCCCGGGTTTCCGGGAGGCCCCGGATGTGACTCCCCCCTTGGCTTCATGAAACTAGAGAGCAGTCACCGGCTTTGGGTTTTCACTTGGAAACGGGGCCAAATGTGTCAGCTTGCCTTCCCGCGTCCTCACAGATGCCTCCCTCCTGCCAAGCAGCCGTGAGCCAGGGCCGCACACAGCTCAAACGAAAGGGCTCGCGGCCCAGCAGCTGTCCTTGGCACCCACCGCTGTCCAGAGCCCTTGAACAGCGTCTCCTTGTTGCTCAGGGTGGCCATGAGCTGGGGCTGCAGCGGGTCGACGGGCTGAGCTCCGTGGGGCAGAGAGCAGGTCTCACTCCTGCTGGAACCCCAGGCCCTTAGTGCGAGACCTGGCCCATATTCATTCATTCATTCATTCATTCAACAACTATGGAGCACCTGCTGTATGCCCGGTCCTGTGCTGGGCTCAGGGGAGGACGCACGGGGTTTCTGCCCACAGGGGACCCGTGTTTGTTGGGATGGATTGTTATTACTTTCCCTTATGGGGTGGGATTAGCAGAGCCAGATAAAAGGGAAAAAGTATTTGTTCCTTCTCAGAACAGTTTCCTCCCTCCGGCCGCTTCCTGCTTTCTAAGCCAGAGTGGGTCAGAGGGCTTAAGAGTTGTATGAGAAAGAATCTCCATCTTCCCTAAATAAACAAGTTCCCAGAGGGCCGTGAGTTGGGGTCACGCCGGGCTCGGGCGCGCTCTTCATGCGGAGTAGAGGCTGCCCCCGAGCCTCGCTGCCCTGCTGCATTGGACGTGGGTAGATTGTAAAAATCCAAGCCCCTCCCAAACTGACTCTGGCCACGTGACTTGCTTTGTCTCATGGGATATGAACAAACACAAGGCAGATAAGTGTTTATGCTTTGGGGCTTGATCGCTCCTGCTGCTCTTGAGAACCCGTGCCACCACACATGAAAGAGCCTGGTCTAGCCCAGCCGGCGTGGCTCGGCGTGGCTCAGTGGTTGAACGTCGACCTGTGAACCAGGAGGTCATGGTTCGATTCCCAGTTGGGGCACATATCCCGGTTGCAGGCTCGATCCCCAGTGGGAGGCGTGCAGGAGGCAGCCGATCAATAATGCTCTCTCGTCATTGATGTTTCTATCTCTCTCTCTCTCCTTCCTCTCTGAAATCAATAAAAATATATTTAAGATAATAAATAAATAAGTAAAAGAACCAAATGGTCAATTCCTTCCCTTTCTTGCCATTTTGCCTGGGACCTTCCTTAGCAGCTCTATCTACAACTGAACGCCATTGCTAACATCCCATTCCATTTCCATTTTCTCTCCTTAACACCTACCACCGTCCCCCTTACATCTCCCCTGCTTATCTTTCTTGTCTGTCTCCCACACCGGATACAGAATCCAGGACAGTAGGGATTCGGCCAATTTTACTCGCTGCTGCGTCCCCAGAGCCTTAGAATAAGTCTTGGCCCGCAGAGGGGAATTGCTTACCCGAGAGAAGTGTTGCTTAACAACACGTAACATGACTGGTCTTCAGGGGGACCCCTGAACCCCCAGAAGTTGTATGCACTGCGTTGTGTGTACATGGATTTTTCTGGAGGAAGGAACCCTGCATTCCGCTGGATCTCAAAGGGGTGCACGGACCCCAGACGATGAGGAAGGCCCTTGTCTGTACCCTTCGTAAACCCGGTTCCAGCTGTGTGGCTGGTGGCTGCCAGGCCCGGCAGTGCAGATACAGAAGGCTCCCTCCATCTCAGAAGTTCTGCTGGACATGCTGTTCTGGGGGCTCCTGGGAAGCGTTTCCTCTCTCCAGACCAGCCGAGAGCCCATTTACCAAATCCCCCCTGGCAAATATTAGCCCACCATCCTTACTACCAGTGAAGAAGCAGGCATCCTGTGTTCTCATCTACACATGTCCGTCCAGAGCAGAATGTGATGTGTTGTTCAGAGATGAGCCCAGAATGACAACATATGGAAACCGAGCTTAGAAGAAATATCAACAAGACGTGGGGAGGTAACCTGGAGGGGATCTTTTGTTTACGGTTGTGCTAAGCAGGGAGGAAAGTTGGAAATCTTCCGAGCTGTGAATTTATATTTGAAGTGAAAGATTGAAATTCCTCCTCAGCTGAAGCCCCCTTAACGGTACTTTCCAAAGTACTCGGTGGCCAGGTTTCTGCTGCGCGTGAATTGTTCACGTTTCTCCACGTGTAAGGGAGAGGCTCTCATCCCTAGTAAAGCCGCCGTCCGTCTCATTCACCGCAGGAGCAGTCCTTCTGCGACCTGGGGGCCAAGTGCAAAGGGTCCCGGCACGAGGAAATCATTCAGCGTCAGAAAAAGGCCTTATCCGAACTCCGGGCACGAATTAAAGAACTCGAGAATTCAGGCTCGTCAAGTAAGTGCTGTCCTTCCTCATCTGCCTCTCCTTGCGTAGAGCTGGGGGTGGGGGGGGACTTTCTTGATAAGATCAAACGTTCTCAGAGGTTGGGAGCAGAGGAACAACCTCCAGGGGGGTTCACTTTGGGAACTGATCAATTTTCCAGGACCACCGTCTTCTATCCCTGTCATTTCATAACCAAAAGGATGTTCTAATACAAAAAAGCAAGATGGGCAGCCATGATCTCCGAGTCAAGGGCAGAACTTGATATTAAAGAAGTAGGGTTTCATGAAACCCATACATTGTCCTACTTTTTCTTTTTTCACTGTGGCCTGGTGGAAACTTTCACATGGACCAACATGGTACAAGGATCGACCTTGGGGAACCCCCCAGAATTCCCTGCCTAGAGGGGATGGGGCTCTCCGGGTGCTGGGGTTGCTGCTGGGCGGAGCACTGGGCTAGGACCCAGAAGCCTGGGTTCAAGTTCCATCCTGTTCCCGTGAGGCAGCCTCCCATTAGCCGTGTGCCCTTGGACAAGACCAGTAAAGAGTAGCTGTGCGTATTACATGCAACCACTGAGCCTTTCCTCTGAATCGAAACCATTTCTTTTCTAGACGATAAGGTCCACCAGAATAAATCATTTCAAGACTTAAAGACTCTCAGAATGGAAAAAAATGTCCAGAAAATGTTGGACGCAAACCCCGATTGGCCAGCTCTCTCAAGAATAGAGATCCAAGCGGTAACCAAATCCAGTTTGTCTCTGCCTGCCTGACAGACCGTGGAGAGGGCGGGCATGAGGGCAGACACTGGCTGTGTGTCCTGGCATGGCCGTGCATATTGGTGGTTCGGGGCCAGGCCCCTCCAGATGGGCCATTGTCTGTACCGACTGGTCAGTGCCTCCCATCCCAGCAGCCCCGTGTTAGAATAGAAAGATGGCCTCCGTTTGCGCACTGCATGATGCATCTCTGCATTGACACAGGGCCAGGTCAGCCTCTGGTGGACCCCGCTTTTCACATTGCATGTTATATTCTGCAGAAAACATTCAATGGGCTAATTTGTGGCATGATGCCATGAGTTGGCCTGAAGTTTGCTTTTTGCTGTAAACTGACAAACATGAACACATAAAGGGTAGCAGAGGGAGCCATGATTATGAGGACGCCATTCTGGAGTAGGAGAGACTGTGCTGGAATCCTGGTTCCGAACGCTGTGTGACCTTAGGTGAGGCTGGTAACCTTTTGGGGCCTCCACGGCCCGGTTGCAAAGTGATGATGAAAAATAATGAAAGGAGGTAATTGTGTAAAGGGCTTATCCCACCACTTAGCTCACAATGAACACTTAACCAATGATGGCTGCTATTATTATTCACTAGGATTTAAACAGTATTATACAAGAAAGCCTTCCTCTCTTAGGGGGCATAGTTTATTTGACAGGATTTTCAGAAGTAATCTGTTGTCAAGTTGAAAGTGCCCTGTACCCTAAATGGGTATTTGATTGACACATAAGGATGGACAGCTCAGGTCAGGGTCAGTCACAGGAGCCACTGGGCGGGGCTTGCTGCCACCGTTGGATCTAAACCAGCGGTTCTCAACCTGTGGGTCGTGACCCCTTTGGGGGTCGAACGACCCTTTCACAGGGGTCGCCTAAATACATCCTGCATATCAGATATTTACATCTCATATTCTGACCGCTGATCCCACCCCTGACACCACAGAGCACGAAACCTCCCAACTTTCTTAGAAGACTTCGGCCCTTCAAGGTCGGCAGTAATTAAAGTCAGAGGACGAGAAGCAGCAAGAGGAAGAACAGCTGACATCTGTTACGCGCTGACCTGCGCCAGGCATTGCGCGAAGCCCTCTACACACTTTACCTCATTTAATCCTCACAGCAGCCTGCGTCTAGTGACTGTTATCATCCCTGGCTTACAGATAAGAAACCTCAAGGCTTCTGGAGGTCAAGTACCTCCCTCACCCAAGGTCACAGAGTGATGGATGATGCAGCCAGGCCTGAGTGTCCCTGGCAGTCTGCCTCTGACACCCTGCTAGACTGCAGAGAAGGGGGCGGGGACTGTGTGCCTGCACCCTGGAGCCCAGGCTCTTCCTTAGGTGACCCTCCCTCAGGAGAAGAGGGGGGGTCTGTAGAGGGGTGCCGAGGCGGCAGCTCAGGGAGGTGAGGACCCTGAGCGGCATTTCAGGTTCTTTTTGCAGCAGGCCTGCCCGGCTTAATGTCATCTCCAAACACCCTATTTTATTCTCCTCTCAATAAATATATAAATCAATGTCTCCACTCTTCTCTGTCGCAGTCACTTTGGGGGCCTCTATGCTTTTATATTTGGGGGGGGGGTGTTGTTTTTTAATCTCAGAGGCTTGCAGTATAGAGCCAGCAAAGGCTATGGGCTAAGAGGTGCTACATGGCAAGCACTGAACACCCAGTTTAGCTTTTGAAGGAGATGTACTGGCCCTCTGTGGTCCTTCCCTGATCGGTCTGGTGGCTTTTCCACGCAGTCGGTAGGGCCTTCCAGCAGCCAGCTGGCCGACTAGGTCTTAGTGAGTGCACAGCTCTGAGCACCATCCCGCGCAGTCCCTGGGAAGGGTCCGAAGGGCCCTCGCCCACCAGGCCCCAGCACCAGGAGAAGGCGGGGCCAAATTTTGTGAGGGTGTAGCTTCCGCTGCATAAAAATCAGGTTCTTTTAGTAAAAGGAGGAGGGCTGTTCTCTATTTAACCTTTGCTCATTCATTCGACAATCACGCCCACGGAGAGCCACTCTGCCAGGGGCCATGGCAGCCCAGGAAATGGGAGCGTGAGCGAAAACAGCACCATTCCCGCTTCCTGGGGGCTGGGCATCTAGACCAGGCTTTCTCCACATCAATGCTGCCGGTATTTGGGGCCAGGTAATTCTTTTTCTTTTAAAATATTTTTTATTGATTTTAGAGAGGAAGGGAGAGGGAGAGAGAGATAGAAACATCAATGACAAAAGAGAATCATTGATTGGCTGCCTCCTGCATGCCCCCCACTGGGGACCGAGCCTGCAACCCAGGCATGTGCCCTGACCGGAGTTGAACTGTTGACCTCCTGGTTCATAGGTCGATGCTCAGCCACTGAGCCACACCAGCCTGGCGGGCCAGGTGATCCTTTGTCGTGGGCCGCCCTAGGTGCTGTGGGTGTGTAGCAGCATCCCTGCCCTCTACCCACTGATGCCAGCAGCATCCGCCACCCCCAGGCTTAACAACCAACAAGGTGCCCAGACATGGCTAAATATCTGGGGGAGGGGGAACAAGGGTGGGCAGAATCACCCCAGGCTGAGAACCGCTGGTCTAGATGGAAGACAGTGACCAGAGAACAAGACAAGCGACGTATCGTTTCGAAGGGAGTTGCGCTCTGAAGGGTGGGGACACAGTTACCAGAAAGCAGTTGGCAAAGGAATCAGACTAGAAGGTCGGGGACTAAAATCAAAATCAACTCTGCCGAGTTATTCTTTGGCAACGCACAGCGCTTCAACTTCCGGATGCAGGCATCCATCACGGGACGCCAAGGGTTTTTAACTCTTCTTTTATTTCAGTCTCAAAATGGCTTTGCCAACCTGGCCGCCGAGAAGCCGGGGAAAATGGACGTGACCGAGGCTTTGGATCTCAGTGAAAAGCTGGTATGTACAGCCAGCCAGCCTCCTGTCGGACCCCGGGTCCCCTGCAGTCCGTGTGAACCGCGGGGTAGTGTAAACACCCGCCTTGCATGCACAGCTGGTGGTTACAATGGCTCCGCAAGGCCCGCCCACGACCCCAGCGGAATGTTTATAACTGTTGTCACTTTCCCCCAGTTCTCAAAAAGGCAGACTGTAAATGCATGTGGAGAAAATGAAAATCGTCCTAAACGCCCTAATTGCACTCATTTCCAAAACGTGGGTTTGCTCCCTGCGATTGCCAACGGGTGAATGAGAACGAGGCGTTCGCCGCCTCCGCGCGGCCAGCAGGCCCCGGCCAGGCCCCTTACCCGCGCGCCGCCTTCCTTGCAGTACCTGGACATGAGCAGGACGCTGGGGAGCCTGATGAACATCAAGGACATGGCAGGTCACGTGTCCATGAAACACCTCTCCCCCCAAGAGAGGGAGCGAGTCAACCAGCTGCGGCAAAGGGACCTGGACCTGGTGTTCGATAAGATCACCCAGCTCAAGAGCCGGCTGGAGAGGAAGGAGGAGCTTCTGAGAGGATACGAGCAGGACGTGGACCAGCTCAGGTACCGCGGGTCCCCGCGGAGGCCCAGGCCTCCATGCCCCCGGCTCAGCCTCAGGGCAGGGCACCGACCTGGGTGTGGAACAGCTAAAATCTGGGGGGCTCTGAGGGGGCAGGACGATGGGTGACTAGAGCCTGGAAGTGACAAGTCTCTCGGTGACACAGCGGCCATCGGAGTGCCCAGGGCTCTCCGCTCTCTGCTGTCTCTTAATGAGTGAGCTGCACCTGCTGTGACTGAGTCTCACCTTCCAGCATTTGTGGGCTTGCCACAGCTCCAGCACATTTTCAGGGGCCGCAGGTCTCCCCCCGCGCCCCCCCCCTGCCCCGGGAAATTAGAAGGGGCCGCTAACACACCCTCTGCCCCCTCACGCTTCACTGACTCAGCCGATTCGCTATTCATCCCGATCTCTACTCCCCCAAAGCTTTGTCATTCTCTCCTGCGTGTAATGAACACACGAGGACAGCGGGGTCTGGGAGTATTTGGAGAAGCCCCGGGTCGGGGACATTGGCGGTGGCTGAGAAGGATGAGGGGAAAAGAGGCTTTGTCTCTCCCGTACGCTCAGGCAGAGCAAAGTGTCCATTCAGATGTACCAGTCACAGGTGGCGAAGCTGGAGGACGACATCTACAAGGGGGCCGAGGAGAAGGCGCTGCTGAAGGAGGCCCTGGAGCGCACGGAGCAGCAGCTGCGCCAGGAGAAGAGGGTCAACCGGGCCAGGAGGCCGCAGCAGGTGAGAGGCCCCGCCCCGCTGGGAGCTGAAGCTCCGAGGCTGCCCCGCTGACCCGGACAGAGGAAGGTGGCAGAATAGCGTTAGCCTCAGACAGACCTAGGTTTAGACCCGCGATCTGCCACTCACTGTGTGATCTCGGGCCGGTTTCTTTTTTTTTTTTTTATAACATATTTTATTGATTTTTTACAGAGAGGGATAGAGAGTTAGAAACACCATCAGCTGCTTCCTGCACACCCCCTACTGGGGATGTGCCCACAACCAAGGTACATGCCCTTGACTGGAATCGAACCTGGGACCCTTCAATCCGCAGGCCGATGCTCTATCCCCTGAACCAAACCGGTCAGGGCTTGGGCCGGTTTCTTAACTTCCCTCAAGTGCATCTGTGTGTGTGTTTTCATAGTGGCTGTTATTTGCATTTTTATCCTGGGGATAAATAGATGATTAAACTCTGAGAATAGAGAATTGGTTTCACTATTCTGATTGCCCAGAACATAGGAGACATCCAATATTTGGTGGATGGATGGATGGATGGATGGATGATGGATGGATAGATAGATAGATGGATGATGGATGGAGAGGTGGATGGATAATGGGTGGACAGGTGAATGGATGGATGGATGGATGGATGGGTCAATGATGGATGGATGGATGGAAGGATGGATGGATGGATGGATGGATGGAAGGATAGATGGATGATGGATGGATGGATGGATGGATGGAAGGATAGATGGGTGATGGATGGATGGATGGATGGATGGATGGATGGAAGGATAGATGGATGATGGATGGATGGATGGATGGATGGATGGAAGGATAGATGGATGATGGATGGATGGATGGATGGATGGAAGGATAGATGGGTGATGGATGGGCAAGTGGATGGGGGTGGATGGATGGATGATGGATGGAGGGTTAGGTGGATGACGGATGGACAGGTGGATGGGGATGGATGGATGTCCTTGAAGAGCGTGTCCTTTAGTACCGAGCAGACAGGTGAAGAGCTGACTCAGATGAGATCCCTACAGAAGCCTGTCCTCCGTCCTGCACACCTTCCAGACTGCAGGCTCCCTGGCTGCAGCCCCAGAAATGAAAGCGGCTTTGAGGGAGCACCAGATGTGGCATCTGCCGCTCTGAGTTAAATTAAACATCACAGCCTGCCGTCCGCATGTGTCACAGGGCTGCCTCAGGCACAGGACACTTTCCTTTCACACCGAGCAACGCCAGGGAGAGCTGGGCCGCAGGGAGAGCTGGGCCTGGCAGAGCTCTGGCTCTGCCTTTGATGTGCCCTCTGGAGAGCTAACCCCTCCTGGGGTGTCCCTCCCCCCTGAGCTTGGCAGGCTCCGTCCTAAAGCACCAGACCACAGCAAAGGGCCCAAAAAAAAGGCCATTGTCATGCGCTGGCTAAAAATGTAAGAAAACCCGAGGATTTACATAATCAAGCTTCACATGCATTATTCATGAGCTGCCTCTTCGTACACAATGCAGGCACTGGACATCCTTCAGTGGAGAGGGTCTGAGATGGCCAAGTTGAATCTGTGACGGGGACCCCAGAAGAGCTAGAGCTGGGAACTTTCAGATGTATGGAATTCACAACTGAGGGGCAGATTTGTATGAACCGGAGCCATAAGCATGGCGACGCTGTTGGCATTATTTATCGAGCGCTTACCAGGTGCCAGGCACCTGCTCCACACGACACATGCTTGCTCTGTCCCATCAGCCTGCGAGGAATGCTGGCGAGGGCCAGCCCATCTGAGAGCGGGGAACACGGAGGCTGGCGGAGGGTAATGTCGCCTGGCTTCCCAGCGCAGAAGCAGGATCCCCACAGGCACCGGCTGCCCTCCCCAGCCCGGGTTCACCTTTCCACGCCCATTCCTCACCATCCCCCTCGCCAGGGCATCTCCCGCCCCCTCGCCCTCCACTCACCCCTACCCTGGTTTTCGTACCGGGGCTTGGGTTTGCACTTGAGGTTGACTATTGATATGTTGTCAGAAATACCTGTTTGTCAAGGAAAAAAATGATAACTTTTTAAAGTTTTGCTGGATTCTGAAGGGAACTTGTATTCATCTGTCTCTCGTCAGTTCCTTCCAAGGAGTATATATTCATTTTTAAAAGTGAAGTTAAAGGGAAATAGAATTCCTTTTTATTTTTTAAGTTTTACACCTAATATTTCCACAAAGAGCCTTATTTTTTTTTTCAGTCTCCAGCATACGGTTTCACCTGTTCACAGAAACGGCCTGGGTGGAGCCCTGGGGAATGAAATTACTCACCTGGAGCTTCAGGACCACCCCCCTCTCCCCCCAGAAAATGTAGTTTGTAGTTTTAATGTTTGAACCTCTCTTTGCCAAACGGAACTTTCCAGAATCAAAAGGCATGCTTCCATACTAATTAGTACCTGTGGCTGTGAAAACGAGGCTTGCTATAAAACGCGGAGAAATCCTCAGTGCTGGGCATCCCCAGAGAACCCTGTGGTCACCGCCTCCAGGTGCCTCTGGAATGTCCTGGGTCCGCAGCTCCGTCCACGTGACAGACAGGCAGGGACAGTGGCCCAGGCTGCGCTGAGTCCAGTCCACTCCCCACGTCACTAGAGCAGACGGCAGTGTCTGTCAGAGTTCACGCAGGAGGACTTCAGAGTCTAACACAGGGTTCAAGCCCCACCTCCGCCCCAGGGACCCTGAGTCAGCGGCTGAACCTCTGTATCTCAGGGTCCTCAGCAAAAACCACCGGAAATGGTAGCGATGGGATCTGTTCACGGGGCCCTGGGAGGTACAGTGATTCGATGCCCGCAGTGCCTGGCACACAGCAAGCTCGGTTACCACCAGGGAGAGAAAGGCAACTAACTCCCTTGGTTTCCAGGGAGCGTCCTGCCCGCTGTCAGGCGCAGCAGACCCACAGCCTCTTTCCGTTCCCTGTGCTCCCAGAGCCCGCGGCTCCTTTGTCGCCTCTTTCTACTTGGTGAACACAGCGAGGGCTCCAGCCCAGAAAAGGCCCAGATGCTTTTTGTGAAGAGGTTAAGGCTGGGATTTTCAATAGGAAATGTGTCAACGCACAGAAGTGGCTGTTTGAGAAGCACGCAGGGCCCCAAGTGTGAGAAAGGCTGAGGTGCACTGGCTGCTTCTGGCTGGGGAAGCAGGCCCCGCTCGCCTGCCAGTCATATTTCCAGCCAATGGAACCCCGCGCCACAGGACGCGTGGCCACAGCATTGCCAGGTGGTCTCTGGAACC